TTGAGTACTCCTGACGCTTTGAAGAACATCAACAATGCGTTTCCGGAAGGAAGGCATGAATAGGATGACAAGAATGACCCCGAAGCATTTCTAATATGGAAAAGTCCCTGGGGCGTCGAAAAAGAGAGAACAGTTCACTGCTGGAATGATTTGAATTGTTCGGGAACTACACGATGCTCGAACTTTTACAGGATTTTTCCGAATTCAAAGTTCCTCGCGATGACATCCGTAAAATGTTATTATGATGATGGTGATTAATATGTTAAACCCATAGTGAATCTTATTGCAGTTCAGTATTTATACTTCGTACCACGTCTACTCAAATACTGTACACGGCACCATCGACCTTGAGACTTACTCTCTTCTTTTTTTTTTTTGAAGAAGGAACAAATCATGTTTGGGAATCCAAAACGAACTTTCAATACAATCGTTTTCTTCAGAATGAAAGAATTTTATTGAACATGTAATTTTCCTATACTATCAATTCAGACACTTCCACTCATAAAAATACTAAAAATCCTGCCTTTGGAAATGGTTTGTTCCAACTATTCATTCATTGAATTTTTTAAAAGATTGAGTCACTCATTATAAAAACATGCATATACATTATCTGCGATTCAAAAACGCCCTCAAATGAAGGAAGAGGAATTGAGAAAAAATAACGTAAAACCGATTTTTTTTCAGTCTAATTCTTTCTTGGACTTGGATGTGCAAAGCTTCCGAATAATCCCGTTTGAGTTTTCCAGTAAATATTTTACTTCACTGCGTTTTGACTTCTTCTCGCTTATTCACAGTACCCGACAGACCACAAAATGTGGTACTTCGTCCCGTTCGGGGGCAAATAGTCGTTTCGTGGGAAATCCCGAAACCATACCCGGGCCCCATGAACTTTTCCATCCACGTGCTTTTTTGGAACGGGTGTCCGGACATTGCCAACGTGACCTGTGACTGCAAGAAGACCAAGGGCGGTCAGGACAAAATCGTCATTTCCGTCAAGGCCGACGAACTGACCCGACACAAGAAAACCTTGACCAAGGACGACTGCATCGTCGAAAACGCCAACTTCATGATCCAAGTCCAGGCAACGTCATCTGCCGGCCCAGGATTGCTCAGTTTCCC